GGTCTCTGACTGTCACCTAACCCAATCTGTCTGCTAGTTTTCTTTCCAAAGTTGCATGTGAACAGGTATGAGAGAAAACTCCACACCCTCAGTGTCTGGCACATGTTGGCTTTTTACTTGGATAGGATAAAGCCCTTGCAGGTTTCTTCCTAGCTGTTCTTGTCATATGCAGCATGAGTGAAGCATCATCCAGTCACAACACAGGCTCTTCATCGTAATGGCTTATGCTGCTAAAGGAGTAATATCTCCTTATAGACTCATAGCAAACTTGCTCAGAGCATATTCAATCTCAACAGCATTTCTGGCACACATCCCTGTTATGGACATATGTAGAGCAGCAACACGGTCCTCAGTTCATACTTTCACTAGACCATATGCACTCTGCAACTTGAGGGAAGATGCAGATCTAGGCAAGGCAGTCCTACAGTCCCTCTTTCTATAAGGCTCTGAGCCCCTCCTCCTGTGTTAACAGCTTGGGCATTCTCTATATCATAATGCAAGCACTTGAAGAAAAAATGGTTACTTACCATCCTGTAATGGTTGTTCTTCGCGATGTGTTTCATATATCAATTACGTGACCCACCATCCTTCCCTGATGTGTCAGAGTCTATCATTGGGTTCCAGTGCAAAGGAATTGAAGAAGGGGTGGGGTGACTTTGCCCTTTATATCCTTAGTTGGCTCACGAAGATCTTGGCCATGGGTGGGGCTGCCGACTCCAGCACCAGTGCACAAGGTGTGCACACATCTACAAAAACAACAAGGAGTCTGTTGGCACCTTAAAGACTAACAGATTTATTTGGGCATAAGCTTTCGTGGGTAAAAACCTCACTTCTTTGGATGCAAGTATCAGGCTACCCCCTGATACTTGACACATCTACAGTATAATGGACATATGCAACATATCTCAAAGAATAGCAGTTTCAAGAAGGTATGTAACTGTTTTTTCCCACTTGCCCTCCAAAGGCCATCATCTGTTTGGGGAGATGGTGGATAAACCCTACAAGATGAGTGGAGCAGATTGCCTCATTTGCAGAGCTTAGAAAGACGTATTCATTGTCTTGGGAAATGTGCAGCAACTTTCACTGAAATTCAGTTTCAGACCTATCTTTCTGAGATTTTCTCCAGCCAGCTCTCAAGAGAGTTAGTCCAAAGATGAGCCTTCCAAGGATTTAAAAAGAAAAAACCTAAGATGCTTTTCCGAAGAGACGCGGCCAAGATGGCGGAAGTCGAACAGAAGAAGAAACGTACCTCTAAGATGTCAGTTTCTTTCCCCTAGGTGGGGAGGGAACGCTTGTGTGTGTACCTGGTCAATTGTAGAAGCTAGTTTGGAGGGTGTGTTACACCCATTCTGATAGCAGTGAGTTTTTGTGATCATTCTGATGTGTTCCAGGAATTCCTCATTCCTGGGCTAGCTACAAAGAAAGCTTTGTTTTTAGGGCTCACTAATCTCATTCATGACAACTCCATTGTTCCAGTGGAAAGCAGGTGTGAAGAGTGAGGCTGTCTCTCTTGTAGTCTAGGCTGTTTGCATGAAGAAAACTAACAATCAAAGCTTTGAACTTCACTTAGTGTTTAAGATGAAACTTTGAAAGGAATGAAGCACTAGGGTTGATTGGCTTTTGGTGGCATGTGGTGCTAATTAGGTTAGTAGCTACATTTTTAATTAACTGAAGACTTTTTGGGCCAGCAATTTCATTCCCTAGGTATATTATTTTAAAATAATCAAATCTATAGATCATGAATGTGTAGATCAGTGTGGCCAGCCCAAGTCTTTCAGGATAGAATGAAGTTTCATAGCCGTATATCGGGGGTGGTCAAACTGTGGCTCTTTTACAGTTGAAGTGTGGCTTGCAGAGCCCCTCAAACTCTCCCATTCTCTGCCTACCAGACTGGAGTGGGAGGGAGCTCAGGTCTTCTGCCCTGCGGTGGTGTGGTGGGGCTAGGGGCTTCTTCCCAGCAGGGCGGTGGGTCTCGGGCTTCAACCCCACTGGGCGCACCTGCTGGGGCTCGGGGTTTCAGCAGGAGTGGGGCTGAAACTCCGAGCCCAGATAGGCACCTTCTGCAAGGCTGAAGCCCTGAGACCCTCCTCCCCACAGGGCACAAGCCCTTAGCTCCAACACCCCACTGCAGGGCTGAAGCCCTGAGCCCCGGCAGACATGCCCTGGCTCTTGAACTTCTGAAGATTGTCGTATGCGGCTCGGAGGGTCAGTAAGTTTGGCCACACCTGCCATATATTGTCCTTTTTACAACCACAGTTGTTGGTGTCAAGTCTAGGAGGACAATCTGAGAATAGAAATGTGAATGACAGTCATTGTTACTGTAGCAGCAAGTTCATCAAAGCACTTCTCTCTCTCAATATCACTGCCATCTGAGCTATAGTTTCAACCTTCTGCCTTTCATCCACATGCTGATGTGCCCCAGAAAATGTTCTCACACCAAAATCTTGAACATTCTCTTCTTAACTAAGTCTCAGTGCTTAATCCTCATCCTGTTTGACCTTTCTGCAGACATCTCCTCCTCCTTGATATCCTTTCTCATTTTCTGTGACTGTCCTCTTTTCATTCTCCTACCACTGGCTTTTCTTTTTTTAGTGTGTCATTTGGTGTCATTCTCATCCTCTTCCTAGAAAAATTGTTTTTGTCCCCCTACTCTTCTCACTCTACATTTTATCCCTGGGTATCCTCTCTTCTCCATTTGCATAAGTTTAACTATCACGTCTAAAATGACAATTTTTATATACTTCTCCATCCAGACAAGTCTCCTGCAGGTCAGTCTTGCATATCTCACTCTCTCAGATATCTCACCCTGTATGGATCACTGTCATCTGAAATTTGACATAGCTAAAACTGAGCTCATAATCTTTCCTCACAAACTCTTTCCCACTCCATTATGGTTGATAGCAGCCCTCCATCCTCCTAGGCCTGTAACCTGGGGATCATTTTCAATTCTACCTTATTTCTCCTATACCCAGGCTGTGACTCAATCTTGTCACTTTTCATAACAATGTTACAAAAATTTCCACCATTTTCTTTCCATTCTAAGACAGAAAATATCATATTGCCTCTATATAAATCCATGGTATGCCCACATCTTGAATACTGCATGCAGATGTGGTCACCCCATCTCAAAAAAGATGTATTGGAATTGGAAAAGGTTCAGGAAAGGGCAACAAAAATTATTAGGGGTATGGAACAGCTGCTGTATGAGGAGAGATTAATACAACTGGGACTTTGCAGTTTGGAAAAGAGATGACTAACGGGAGATATGATAGAAGTCTATAAAATCATGACTGGTATGGAGAAAGTATATAAGGACGTGTTATTTACTCCTTCGCATAACACAAGAACGGGGGATCACCAAATGACATAAATAGGCAACAGATTTAAAACCAACAAAAGGAAGTATTTTGTTCACACAACGCACAGTCAACCTGCGGAACTCCTTTCCAGAGGATGTTCTGAAGGCCAAGCCTATAACAGGGTTCAAAAAAGAACTAGATAAATTCATGGAGGATAGGTCCATCAATGGCTATTAGCCAGGATGGGCAGGGGTAGTGTCCCTAGTATCTGTTTGCCAGGAGCTGGGAATGGGCGACAGGGGATGGATCACTTGATGATTCCCTGTCCTGTTCATTCCCTTTGGGGCACCTGGCATTGGCCACTGGCGGAAGATAGGATACTGGGCTAGATGGACCTTTGGTCTGACCCACTATGGCTGTTCTTATGTTCTCAATCTGATGACCGAATGCTTGTCCATGCTCTAATAATAGCTGATATTGACTATTGTAACCTCCTCCTCTCCAATCTTGTAGATACTTACCTTGCTCCCTGCTGTCCATTCAAAATGCTGACACCAAAATGATTTCCCCTCACCTTTTGGTTTTGACTTCATTTTCACTCCAAAAGATCTTTTCACTGGTTTCCTTGTTGCCCAGCATATCATCTTGAAATTCCCTATCCTTGGATTCAAGACCCTATGCTTCTGGCCCAAGTCTGCATCAGTGACCATGTTTTCATTATGCATTACCCCATTCTCTCCACTCCAATATTGTTGATAGCTTTGATGTTTCCTTTGTACCCTTCTTCCATTTCCATCGCCATGCTGCCCCTTTCCAAATTTATTCCATTTTCAAGTTACCTCCTTGACTTCATTTATACCTCATTCCATCTCTCCTAAAAACTCACTTCTGTTATCTCTTATATGAAGAATGAAGGGGAGGAAAAGGTAAATTAAAGAAATGAATAAAACTGGAAAGGAAAAACTTAAGTCAACAGAACCACTAAGAGGAATATGTGCCTTGCAGAATAATTATATGCTCTTTTTTTGTTTGTTTGTTCATCATTTTCCCCATCTCATTCTCCCCACCTTTTTTGGTCTGTTTATGACCCTCACTATTTGCCACATCTAATTTAGATTGTAAACTCTTTGGTACAGGGACAATTTCTTTGTTGTCAAGGCCCCTAGTATATTTTTGGGTGCTCAAAAATAAACTCAGAACTCAACTTTATATCTGGGTGCTGGCTGTATTTTAACACTGTGCAACATATATCATTTTGGGATTGACTCATATAATGGAGATGGAAAAGACTGTCATCCAGTCCATCTCCCTGCTATTGCAGGATTGTTCCTTTCAGTACTTTAAGTATTTTAGCCAATTTAGTTTTAAAGTCTCAAGCAGTGGGACTTTCACCACATTCTTTGGTAGGCTCCCATTTTTTAGGTTTGAAAATCCTTTGTGTACTGTGTATACTTTAGGTTGTCGAACTTGCATACAGATTTCAAGATCAGACAATATCTGAATAGGGACACATTTAATAGAAATACATTATTTTAACTTGTTTAATGTAAATAATTTTTATAAGTATGAAATTGTTAGCCAATTATATTGATGTTTAGGAACTTCATCCTTATTGGGGACTCAGCTTTATTGTGTGTGGTTTTTCAGATCATAGTAAAATAACACTTTTTAAGATTCTCTTATTGCTTTTCCCCCCTGAAGTCTTCCATCCTGTGGAATGTTCATATTGTCGGTGTGAGAGCATGATGGGTTTCCGGTACCGATGCCAACAGTGCCACAACTACCAGCTCTGTCAAACCTGTTTTTGGCGTGGCCATGCCAATGGCCCTCATAGCAACCAACATCAGATGAAGGAGCATTCCTCTTGGGTAATCCAGCTTTGTTCGTATTAATGCCCTGGTCATCTCTATGCACGTTTCTTTTGAAAGCTAAAGATGTTTTTGTAATAGGCGTAGAATCACAGGTTAAATCTTAAAGGTTTTTAAATAGGAGCTTATAAAGAGGCACATTACACTTTTCTGTGAGTTGTACGTAATTTTATTTAATTATTTGACATTATCGTTTTGCTCAGCGCTGACGATACAGTTCCTGCTCTCAAGTGCCTTGCAATCTGAGACATATAAAACAAAGCACTTGTTGTCTTCTTCTTTTCCCCAACACCATACCTTCCTACATCCCTCTTTTTACCAGCCTACCGTAATTTTGATGTCATCACAAAGCAAGAAAACACTATGCACACAAGGGGCTCTTTTTGGCAAAGTGGTGTTCTTGAACAATAATATCTCTTTAAAATAAATGTTTGTTTTCATTGTGCATGAAGCTGGACTGTATATATTGTGGAAGACTGATCCTTAACCCAAGAATCTGAAAATCTAAGATACGTGGGCAGTAAAGTTTAGATTAATAGTCCACCAGACCACGAGATGATGAGCACATCCCAAGTCATAGCTAGTAATTCAAGGTCTGGAAAACAGGATGTCACAGGTGGGATGATTCTGTAGCAACCCTGATAACACCAAGCCTAATGCTGCAGCCACCCCCTGTCTTAGTCCACAAGTTGTGACCTGCTTGGAGCAGGGTGGCCGGTGCCATAAGCTTGGGCATCAGTCTCTAAACAATTAACTAAGATTACAAAACTCAGAATTCGGCTGTCTGCGCCTTTAAACAAACAAGCAAAATGCTAAGACAAGTACTTCAGGGCATGGCCCTGACCTGGCCCTTGGGTTCTGTGCTAGCGCTGAGGAGCTTCTCTTCTGTCCCAGTCTCCCCCAGTGCTGCCCCTGAGAAGGAGCAGGCAAGGATTCTTAACTACACTGCTGGCTCCTGATTATTCAATGTCTCGTCCTGGCCCTTCTAAGCTCTGGAGGACTAAGTCTTGTTGGTAGCCTGATCTGAGTAGGTTTTCCTTGAGCACAGGGCATAGACACCTCCAGGGACAAAGAAGGCATGGTAGACCCCATCGCACAGGCCTTGTGGCGTGAGATTTACGAAGCTAAATCTGTTTAGTTGATCCAAGAGAAGATTGAAAATGACTTGATCATGACCTGCATGTACCTATACATGGAGAAGAGATTTCTGATAGTAGATGGCTCTTTAATTTAGAAGAAAAAGGCATAACGATATCCAATATTTGGAAGCAGAAGCTAAACAAATTCAGATTAGAAATAAAATGAATATTTTTAGTAGTGAGGGTAAATAACTATTTGGTCAGTTTACTTAGAGAGCTGGTGGAATCTCCATCCACTTTCTCTTTAAATCAAGACCAGATGTCATTCTAAAAGGTATGTTATGGCTCAAACAGTGGGCTTGATTGAAATTACTTGGTGACGTTCTGTGGTCCATGTTTGCAGGAGGTCAGATGAGATCATCAGAATTGCCCATTCTGGCCATAAAAATCTATGAATGTATAATCACTTTTTGATGGTGAACTCAATCGTTTAGATTATCCTAGGTGGGCTAAGTGGAAGAAATCAGTTTCAAGTTGTGATTAAAGGGTGGACATTTAAACAGGGTGGACATTTAAAGAGGGAGTTCCAGGTATAGAAGCATAGAAGATTAAACCTCTAAGGATGGAAATTCCACCAATTCCCTAGGCAACCCCGTTCCAGTGCTTCACCACCCTCCTAATGAAATAGTTTTTCCTAATTGTGACAGGTTTGGTCACAGAGACCCCCTTGAGGCTGTCACCTGATGTAATGGAATTACCTCGGAGCCCGTTTTCCACTGCCCGCTTGGAAATCCAGAACCCTACCATGTTGAGCCAGACACGCTAGTCTGCTGCAACACAGACCCAGGTCTGGTCCACGCCCCCAAAGCTGCAGATTTTAACCAAAAACTGCTCAGCAAGTCACCTATCTCCAGCACCCAGACACCTAGTTCCCAATGGGATCCAAACCCCAAATAAATCCATTTTACTCTGTATAAAGCTTATACAGGGTAAACTCATAAATTATCCGGCCTCTATAACACTGATAGGGAGATATGCACAGTTGTCTGATCCCCCAGGTATTAATCACTTACTCTGGGTAAATTAATAAAAAAAAGAGATTTTATTAAGTATAAAAAGTAGGGTTTAAGTGGTTTCAAGTAATAACAGACAGAACAAAGTAAGTTACCAAGCAAAATAAAACAAAACACGCAAGCCTAATACATTTAAGAAATGGAATACAGGTAAATCATACCCTCAGAAATGTTCCAATAAGCTTCTTTCACAGACTAGACTCCTTCTTAGTCTGAGACCAATCCTTTCCCCTCGTACAGTTCTTGCCCCCTTTGTTCTGTTGCACCCCCTTTTATAACTTTGGCACCAGGCGGGAATCTTTTGTCTGTTTGGGTACCCACCCCTCCTTCAGAATAGAAAAGCACCAGGTTTAAGATGGATTCCGGTACCAGGTGACATGATCACATGTCTCCGTAAGACCTCATTCTCCATTCTTTCAGGGCTGGCCTGCACTTACCCAGGAAGGTTTGCAAGTAAACAGAGCCGTTCGCAACCAATTGTCCTAGTTAATGGGAGGCATCAAGATTCCAAGCCACCATTAATGGCCCCCACTTTGCATAGTTATAATAGGACTTTGGAGTAATACTTCATATTTCTAGCTTCAGATGGAGTGCAACGTCACACTAATATCCAACCTAGACCTTCCCCACTGCAGCTTGAGACTGTTGTTCCTTGTTCTGTCATCTGCCACCACTGAGAACAGCCGAGCTCCCTCCTCTTTGGAACCCCCCTTCAGGTAGTTGAAAGCTGCTATCAAATCCCCCCTCACTCTTCTCTTCTGCAGACTAAATAGAATACTGGGTTGGAAGAGACCTCAGGAGGTTGTCTAGTCCAATCCCCTGCTCAAAGCAGGACCAACACCAACTAAATCATCCCAGCCAGGGCTTTGTCAAACCTGACCTTAAAAACCTCTAAGGAAGGAGATTCCACCACCTCCCTAGGTAACCCATTCCAGTGTTTCACCACCCTCCTAGTGAAATAGTGTTTCCTAATATCCAACCTAAACCTCCCCCACTGCAACTTGAGACCATTGCTTCTTGTTCTGTCATCTGCCATCACTGAGAACAGCCGAGCTCCATCCTCTTTGGAACCCCCCTTCAGGTAGTTGAAGGCTGCTATCAAATTCCCCCCCCCCCCACTCTTCTCTTCTGCAGACTAAATAATCCCAGATCCCTCAGCCTCTCCTCATAAGTCATGTGCCCCAGCCCCCTAATCATTTTCGTTGCCCTCTGGTGAACTCTCTCCAATTTGTCCACATTCTTTCTGTAGTGGAGAGCCCAAAACTGGACGTAATACTCCAGGTGCGGCCTCACCAGTGCCAAATAGAGGGGAATATTCACTTCCCTTGATCTGCTGGCAATGCTCCTACTAATGCAGCCCAATATGCCATTGGCCTTCTTGGCAACAAGGGCACACTATTGACTCTCATCCAGCTTCTTGTCCACTGTAATCCCCAGGTCCTTTTCTGCAGAACTGCTGCTTAGCCAGTCGGTCCCCAGCCTGTACCGGTGAATGGGATTCTTCCTTCCTGAGTGCAGAACTCTGCACTTGTCCTTGTTGAACCTCATCTGATTTCAATCCTCCAATTTATCTAGGTCACTCTGGACCCTATCCCTACCCTCCCTCATATCCACCTCTCCCCCCAGCTAAGTGTCATCTGCGAACTTGCTGAGGGTGCAATCCATCCCATCAGCCAGATCATTAATGAAGATGTTGCACAAAACTGACCCCTGGGGCACTCCACTTGATACTGGCTGCCAGCTAGATATTGAGTCATTGATCACTACCAGTTGAGCCCGACAGTGTAGCCTGCTTTCTGTCCACTTTATAGTCCATTCATCCAATCCATAGTTTTTTAACTCGTCAAGAATACTGTGGGAGACCATATCAAAAGCTTTGCTAAAGTCAGGATATATCACGTCCATCGCTTTCCCCATATCCACAGAGCCAGTTATCTCATCATAGAAGGCAATCCGGTTGGTCAGGCATGACTTGCCCTTGGTGAATCCATGTTGATTGTTTCTGATGACCTTTCTCTCCTGCAAGTGCTTTAAAATGGTTTCCTTGAGGACCTGCTCCATGATTTTTCCAGGGACTGAGGTGAGGCTGACCAGTCTGTAGTTCCCCGGGTTCTCCTTCTTCCCTTTTTTAAAGATGGGCACTATATTTGCCTTTTTCCAATCCCCCGATCGCCACAAGTTTTCAAAGATAATGGCCAATGGCTCTGCAATCCCATCAGCCAATTCCCTCAGCACCCTCGGATGCATTAGATCTGGACCCATGGACGTGTGCATGTCTAGCTTTTTAAATAGTCCTTAACCTGTTCTTTCACCACTGAGGGCTGCTCACCTCCTCCCCATAATGTGTTGCCCAGTGCAGCCGTCTGGGAGCTGACCTTGTCTGTGAAGACAGAGGCAAAAAAAGCATTGAGTACTTCAGCTTTTTCCACATCTTCTGTCACTAGATTGCCTCCCCCATTCATTAAGGGTCCGACACTTTCTCTGACCTTTTTCTTGTTGCTAACATACCTGTAGAAACCCTTGTTGTTACCCTTCACATCCCTTGCTAGCTGCGACTCCAGTTGTGCTTTGGCCTTCCTGATTACACCCCTGCATGCTTGATTTTTATATTTTTATACTCCTCCTTAGTCATCTGACCAAGTTTCCACTTCTTGTAAGCTTCCTATTTGTGTTTAAGCTCACCGAAGAATTATTTGAGATTGAATAGTTAGGTATCGATGCACATTTCAATCCTAATAGCCACAACATTAATTTTCGTAGAATAACTCATTTGCAAAAAAAAAAAAAATCCTTTCAAAGTGCAAAAACTTGGAAATTAACAGTTAAGAACTTCAGCTACTTCAGTCAT